GCATCACAGAGGAGGGCCTGGAGGGGCTACTGCGACGGAGTAATAAATACCCCGGACGCGGCTAGGCTCCTTAGGGTGCTCAGAAGTGACCCTGCGGGAAGACTGGGGGTGGTCCGCAGGATCGGCGGTGGCTACACAGCGGGCCCAGCGGACACACTACAACAGTTGCTGAACACGCACTTCCCAGGGTCCGCTGATCCGGACACAGGGGGGAATATTGAAGCCGGGGGTCGTCTTGGATGTGACTAGGCCACGGCAAGGAGGGTGGTTACCCGTAGTAGGCTGAGGTGGGCTATTGACAGCTTTGACCCCTTCAAGTCGGCGGGCGGGGATGGAGTATTTCCGGCTCTGCTGCAAAGGGACGGAGGTCTCCTGACCAGCCCGCTGATGGACCTGTTCAGGCGAGGGGGTACGTGCCCGAGCTGTGGAGACACAGCAGGGTAGTGTTCATTCCCAAGGTAGGGAAGAGTGACTACACGGACCCGAAGTCATACCGGCCCGTTTGCCTCACCAGCTTCATTATGAAGACTCTGGAGAGACTGGTGGACCGGTATCTGAGGGACTGGGTGGAGCTGGAGGCCCCTTTAGAGCCAGCTCAGCATGCGTACCGAAGTGGCGGGTCTGTGGGCTCAGCTCTTCACCATCTGACTTCCAGGTTGGAGGAGGGTATGGGCTCGGGACGGCTGTCGGTGTGCGTGTTCGCTGACATCGAAGGGGCTTTCAATAACACGGCCCTGTACTCGATCTGCAGGGCGGTGGAGAGTACTGGAGTGGGGACGGCCATTGTAAGGTGAATCCGCTCCATGCTAACCGACAGGAGGGTCAAGGCAAGACTGGGTGGGGAGCAGGTCTCCATCGGTTCATCACGGGGTTGTCCACAGGGCGGGGTCTTGTCCCCGTTCCTGTGGTGCCTAGTGATGAACGAGATATTGCATATTCTGAGGGAAGAACACGGGGTCTATGCTCAGGCATATGCAGACGACCTTGTCAATAATGACACAGGAGACGGGCATGAGGAGGATGCAGGAGCTCCTGAACGGGGCATTGGCAAGATTCTCACAATGGTGCCTGGACAGCAAGTTGGCTGTCAATCCTGATCATCTACACTAGAAAAAGGAAGATGGAGTGCAACCTCAACATTTCGATGGATGGGGTGCCTGTTTCTGCAAGCGGAAGTGTCAAGTACTTGGGCGTATGGTTAGACTCTAAGTTGACCTTCCAGGAACATATAAGATCAAGGACCAGGTCGGCCTTTGGAGCTCTGTGGGTGTGCCGGAGAGCGGTAGGGGGCACGGGGCCTGGAGCCGAAGATCATGCAGTGGGTCTACGGTACCATGGTGGTGTCTATGCTCACGCATGGGGCAGTGGCATGGTGGCCGGGGACCAAAAGAGCGGGAGCAAGGCTAGTTCTTGACAAACTGCAGATATTGGCTTGCCTCTGCATAAGGGGGCCATGAGAACGGCGCCCACGAGGGCCCTAGAGGCTCTGGTGGGGTTGCCCTCTCTGGTGGATCGGATGCAGATGGAGGCGGCCAGGACAGCTGTCAAGCTGGCGAGCTGCGGGCTCTGGAGGGAGGGAACCTTCAATCGGGGTCCGTAGGACATTTTAGAGGGCTGTCGCGGGGATCGCGGGGTCATGGGCATGCCGAGTGACGTCATGATCCCCGAGACGACCTTCTTTGACAAATTGACCTTTCTTTTTCCATCAAGGGAAGATTGGAGAGAGGGCAGAGTCGGCTCCTGGGATGGACTTGTCTGGTACACGGACGGGTCCAGAATGAGGGATCTGGCCGGAGCTGAAGCGTACTGCGAGACAACGGGATCGAGCTTGTCGGTCCCTCTGGGTCAGTACTGCACTGTGTTTCAGGCGGAAATTTTCGCTTTATTGATGGCGGCCAGAGAGGTGCTTCGGCTCAACCACGGAAGCAGGAGAGTCTTCTTCTGCTCGGATAGTAGGGCTGCACTCATGGCGCTGAAGTTAGTGCGTACGCGCTCCTTGTTGATAAAGGAGTGCAAAGGGGTACTGAGGAGGGTGGCTGAGGAGAGAAAGGTCACGTTGGTCTGGGTCCCGGATCACACCGGCATCCGGGGCAATGAGGCAGCGGACGCCTTAGCCAGAGAGGGCTCCTAGCATAGGCATATAGGGCCAGAGCCCCGCTTGGGGATCGCCCCGTGTGTGGCGCGGGGAGCTCTCGAAGCTTGGGCGAGAGACTGGGCCGCGGGGGGCTGGAGAGTTGCTCCGGGAATGAGGCAGGCGAGGCTTATAATGGATGGGCCCGCCCTTCCTCGGATCAGGGAGCTGCTCAGACTGACCAGAAGGGAGTGTAGAGCACTAACAGGGGCCTACACAAGACATTGCAGGCTTAGGAGGCATCTTTGCTTGCTAGGCATTGGAGACGACCCGGAGTGTAGGTGGTGCATGGAAGGGGAGGAGACCCCGTATCATCTGCTCACCGAGTGCCCTGCCTTGACATGCGCAAGATTGGGAGTCATCGGAACGGCCCTGATCGATCCGGACTCAGTGCACGGTATTGGGCTAAAGGAGTTGCTGACCTTCTATAGGAGGGGCGGCATTCTGGACGCCCTCTAGAGCGGCCTGGGGGCACAACGGACCCATCTGGTGGGCTAAGTGCTTATATATATATATATATATATATATATATATATATATATATATATATATATATATATATATATATATATATATATATATATATATATATATATATATATATATATACCTTTCGCCTTTTGGTTTTCACCTTTTGGCAAGTTCGCAAGTGCAAATTCACACCCCAGCTCTACGGCTTCTTTGCCGTACTGATGAGATCAGTAAGATCGAAAGCTCGGGAAATCTCATCCTCCCACCTTCCAGTCAAAATCATTTTGGTTTTGATGAAAAAGTATTTTAACCCAGTTTGACTGTGGTTGAAAGACAAGTTCCTTTGAGCTGTTTCGACTTCCATTCGTCTCTTCAGTTGCGGACAAACCGCAAGACAGTTGTTCATTTCTATATATATATATATATATATATATATATATATATATATATATATATATATATATATATATATATATATATATATATATGATGACATCATGATAATATCATCCGTTCGCTTGTTGAACTCCGACTGGAATCCTGCAGACGTTTCGCCAAAATCTCACTTGGCATCTTCAATGCGCTCCGAAAACATATATATATATATATATATATATATATATATATATATATATATATATATATATATATATATATATATATATATATATATATATATACAAGGCTGCCCAAGATTGAACGATATATTTTTGTAAAAATAAAGCCGGTTATTATCGGCTTATTTATGAAATTCAGCATGTCTATTAAAATGAAATTGCTGAAGAATAAGAGATTTGATAAATAATAATAACAATATATTACTTTCCTACTTTAACCATTAATAACAATAACATTGACAGAATGATATCTTGAATTAAATTTAGCAGGAAAGGTTAAAGCAAGTCAGACATCTGACACAGCCAGATACTGTTACAGACCAAATTTAGCATTAAAGCTTGGAGTGGTAGAGGGAGGAAATTAAATGTAAAGAAATTATTAGGTAAAGGTTTAATTAGAAATTAAAATCTAGCTAGTATGCAATTTCTTCAGCCAAAAACCAATTTTTAAATTTATTTTTGAGTGCCTGTCTATTAAGGACACATATTGATAATCATATTTACAGTTTGTTATGAAAAGAACCTATTTAAATTCTCATTTCGAAGCTATGAAATAGTAAGGAAACTCTTTCTCTCTCTCTTTATCAGCCCAGCGACATCCACTCCTGGATATAGGCATCCCCTCTTCTTTTCTACTCTTCTCTGACTCTAGCTATCTGATGCCAACACTTCTTTTATGCAGTCTCGGTCTCGACTGCATAATATGTTTTGTCCAATGAGTGTCTAAGGAAACTACGAGATTGAAATTGTGGACAGCCGTTCGAAATATATTTTTGTTGTACAGATTGGGCGATAATAGGGCGTGAAGTTTATATCGACTGAAAATTTTCAACCAGCCTGACCTAACCAGATATTGTGAAATATGAGTTTTACGTCTAACCATATCCTCTACATTTTTAAATACGATACTTCTCTGTTTAAACTGTGATGGTACTAGAGTATCGCAAGGAAGCCTTTTATCATCCTGTGAGAGACAGTGACAACTACCATAAATTAATTTTAGATCACTGTATCCAACCTTTAACTTGCTGATAACATGTTCTCTAAATTTTAGCCGAGAATCTACAGTAAGTCATAAACTTTTACAACTGCTAGGAAAAGGTTCTTATAAAGAATTTAACGTTGCTTTTAATATTATCAATTTGATTATCATTTCCAAATATGATCACTGAGGATTTATTAGAATTAAGTATTATGTTCAGCAACAGAATCGTAAAATCTATTCAAATCAGAATTAATACTGTTGCTTGCTTCGTTTACATTTCTCAAGAAAATAAAAGTACAGTTGAGTATCATCGACAGAAGTATAATGATGTTGTAAACCTGGACGTAAAAAACACAGAGAAGTGGGCTTTAAATGCTACCGTAAGGAAAACCAATTAAGGCAGTAATTTTGATTTCAGCATAAGATCTAAAAATATCATCTATTACACCTCCAAGAACGCTGATCAAACTTTTGTAGTAAGTTATCACTTGTCCTTGTTTAGTTGTTCGTGGTTGGGCAATGTAATAGAGACAGTGGAATTTATCAAAAAAAAATAGCATTATTGAAACAAGGGTTTTATTTATTTATTTAATTAATTTAATTAATATCTCCACAATCCCCACGCGCTCGCAAAATGGAGAGAATTATTATTACTCTCATTTAAAAAAATAATATACAATTTTATCACGGAAAACAGAAACGACGCAACGTTATACCTACATGTACCCTTTACTCGTCTCCAGTCACGAACCCTCGTAAATAAATACTAACGCCAAACAAGTTCCGGAAAACTCACCTGTCGCCTCACTCACTACACCTCGCGTCGTAGTTTCGCACTAGCCCGACAAAAACTCTGCTACGTCATCGTGCGTTTTAAGCGACCGTGAAAGGGCGACTGAAAACTGAAAATTGTTGCGACGCCAACAGACTGAATTTTCTTGCGCGGGTGTGTGTGTGTGTGTGTCTGTCTGTCCGCCGAAGCGCTCTGAAATTAGGGTTGCGCGTGTCGATAGGGTGTAATTACTTTCACCGAGAAGAAGACGGGCGATTTGCTTAGCGAGTGTGGGCGGATGTTTTTTTTTAATTTAATAAGAGGTTTGTTTGGCTTTTTTTACTCCGGGGGGAGGAATCAGATGATTGTTTTAGTAGTGTTATAGTAGTAGAACGAAAATCAAACTAATTAATGAATAAACTCAAGAATAATAATAATAGTACTTCTTTACTTCAAACCACAACGACTCAGCAAAGCAAGCAATACATACAATAAAATTACGTCACACGAATTAACTGTTTTATAAAATTATAATTCTTGCTCCTACTGCGTCTGGTTCTATTGCAATAAGTAATATCTTGATCGTCCCTTATATATATATATATATATATATATATATATATATATATATATATATATATATATATATATATATATATATATATATATATATATATGACTGACTTTTGAAGAAAGAAGAAAACTGAGAGAAACTACGACGTACGGAACAAGCAGATACAGATTGGGAGCGCCTGGTTCAACCCCTGGTATCAACAATGCTAACCAACGTCTAGTCGCGATCAACTCAATGAATCAACAATTGTTACTGTAAGTACAATTTGAATCATCTCGTTTTTAAAGTGTATTTAAAGTATTATTCAAATTCGTGACCCAAGAAACGAAAAACAAACAAAATGTCAGAAACGAACCAACAACATCCCAACAACAAATCTCAACAATTGAATACAAATTTGAACCTTACAAACTTTCAGAAATATTTTCAATCTTACCAGAATATGATGGTGATCCAATAAATCTAAATACTTTCATAAGTGCCTGTAACAGTGCTTAGTAATTAAAATAAAAATCAATTACTTGATCCAAAAACTGAATTTAATTGTGAGCTAGGAAGCTATTCTTTCAAAAGAATGCCCTTCGTTCTTAAAAATGCTCCAGCTACCTTCCAAAGAATAATGAACAATATATTAAGAGGGTTACAAAATGAAAAATGTTTAGTTTATATGGATGACAATTGTATTTTCACCAACAATACACGAACACATTTCTCGTCTTAAAGAAGTTTTCAAACGATTACGAAAATCAAATTTAAAAATACAACCTAACAAATGCTAATTTTTGAGAAAGGAAGTGGCATATCTTGGTCACTTAATTACAAAAGAAGGTGTCAAACCCAACCCAGATAAAGTTCAAGTAGTCATTGACTTTCCAGTTCCAAAAAATACAAAAGAAATAAAATCATTCTTAGGATTAGCAGGACATTATCGAAGATTTATCCCTAACTTTGCAAAAATATTTTTAAATCGTTTATTACAGAAGGAAATACCATTTAATTTTGATGAAGAATGGCATCAAACTTTTAAAAATTTCATAAAAGCTTTAACTAACCCTCCAATTTTACAATATCCTAATTTTGAAGAACCATTTATTCTCACGACAGATGCAACTTCACAAGGTCAAATAGGTAGAGATTTACCAATAGCTTTTGCTTCAAAAACATTAGTCTCAGCCGAAATCAATTATTCAACAATTGGAATGGAATTAAAAGCTATAGTATGGTCTGTTAAACATTTTAGACCTTACCTTTATGGAAGAAAATTTAAACTTGTAACTGATCATCGCCCATTAACATGGTTGTTTTCAATTAAAGATCCTGGTAGTAGATTAGCCAGATGGAGATTAAAACTTGAAGAATATGACTATAAAATTGTTTATAAACCTGGAAACCTGGAGAATTAAAATAAATCAAATACAAAAAATGATTAACTTTAACACAAAATTATTCAATGAACCTTTTACATCAAAAGATAAAGAACGAACCTTATCAAATAAAACTGAAATCTAAAAAGAAACAACTTGTCCAATGACTCCTAATGAAATTCAAAATGAGTTTGAAAAATTTATTGAATTATATCCAACAAAATCATTAATCGATTATTCAAAAATAGAATTTTCAAATGAACAATTATTAAATAAAAAACATAAAAAGATTATTACTATTTTTCAACAAAGTGAACTTAACAATTTACATTTTAAAATAATCGACGATTTATTGGAAGAATCACCACAATTGTCAACCGACAAAATAAATATTTTATCTTCTGAAACGGTAAAGAAACGTAACTATTATATTATTGTTCTCTCGTTTGATAACGAAACTGCAGTACCAGAATTATTTAAAATACTTTGTAACGCTGATCTTAGTGAAAACAAAACTTATTATGTCGAAAACAATATCAAGTTACCTATCCTCGAAATGATATCTTTTATTTTCGCCGATAAAGATTTAAAACTAATCGTCAAAATGTAGTTACGGACATTGTAGACAAAGATCAGATAACAATAATTATTCATCAAAAATATTGTGGAAAAAGTAATTTTCACCGCGGAATAAATGAAACAATTAGACGGATTAAAGAAAAATATACATGGCAAGGAATGACTAAAGATGTTAAAGACTTTATTAAAGGGTCTGAAATCGCAAATTAATCGCAAAAATTTAACAAATCCATTAGTAATTACTGAAACTCCAAAAACGCCATTTGAAAAAATTAATATTAATATTTTAGAAATTCCAACAAAAAATTATATTCTAACAATTCGAGACGAATTAACAAAATTCACTCTGGCTTATCCAATATCTGATAAAAGTTCAAAATCGGTAGCAAGTACTAGTTTACTCTACTTTCAACATTATGGAGTCCCACTAAGAATTCATTGTGACAATGTTAGAGAATTTAATAATCAAATAATAAAGGATTTATGTAATTTGTATGACATTACATTAACATTTTCAAGTGTAGATCATCCAGAATCAAACGGTTCTTTAGAAAGATTTCATGCAACCTTATTAGAAATGCTTCGAATTTCAAAAATGGAAAATCCAAATGAACATCCGTTTAGTGCATTACCTTATACAGTAATTTCTTATAACAATTCTGTTAATAAAACACATGGTTTTACCCCATGGCAATTAATATTTGGCCATACGTCAAATAGACCACCAGAGACAGTATATAATGAAAAAGAATTATTTACAAAATATGTAAGAGATTTAAATACTGTAATTAAATAACATTATGATAAAGCAAGAGAAAAAACTGAACAACAAAAAAAAGGTCGAAGGAAAGATTTGATAAACATATTTCTAAACAACATCAATTTCAAGTAAGAGATAAAGTTTATATCAAAGAATAGCAAATAAAACGAAAATTTGCTAATAAATTTAATGGTCTATTTGAATTAACTGAAACTGAAAAGAAGATAAATATGATATTTTGATACAAGAAAATGAAACTGATTGAAACTTTTCTCTCTTTTCAGATTCTTTATCGTTATTCCATCAATAGAAGCACAATATAAATTACATCCAATAAAAAATATCTTAGGAGTTTACTATGAACCAATTAATCGCCTTATCGTTTCCAACAATAAATGGGCGCTTCTTGCATATAAGGATACTAAACAATTAAAAAACGCATATGAAAATAACAATAAAATATTAAACAGCTTACTTAGTTTAGTAACAGCTTCAAATAATTGAATGTCTTCAAAGCTGAAGTTTTCAGAAATAGAATTTGATGTTTCTATTAGATATAAGCGATATACAAGAAATAGACATGCTTTAGGATCTGTGTGGAAATTGAGACGCTTCTGATGGAGAATATTATAATCAACGCATTAATAAAATCGAAAGGGATGAACATCAATTTGAAGAGCTAATGAAAAACCAAATATCAGTAACAACATCAGTTATTAAGAATTTTAACGAAACTATAAGAAAATTAAAAATTGACGAAGAAACTTTTAATAAGGATATTAAAGAAATTGAGGAATCAATTTATGATATATCGGATAAATTAAAGTTTATTGAATCAAAGGTACAAATTTTAGACATATGTGAACAATTAATGGAATCTTTTCTCTTTATTGAAGATAGCTTGAATGATATTTTAAACTTCTCAAAATTAAAGGTTATTCATACTTCAATTATTACTCCAAAAGATTTAATCATGATTTTAACTAACTATTTCGCAAAATTTGAGAAGAAATAGTTTGCCATTTGACATAACTCTTTCAAAAACATCGTCTTATTTAAGCATTATTGAACTTAAAGCTTTTCAAACTGAAGATAGAAGACATTTAAATTTCCGTTTCTTGATAATCGAACAGGATTACATCACATTTTGTCTGTTTTACAAAAATACATCGCGAAAGATGATGATAGGAATGTACATTTCTGACATTCCTATTGAAGGTATAGAAAATTGTAAAAACGCATATTACGCATTATTATGTCAAAATCTATTTCATTATCCAATTGATACAAATGCCCAATGTGAAGCTCAATTATATAAAAGTCAATTGTCTCTTCCAAATACTTGTCAAATTATTTTGTTATATGCTAAAGAATATAATATTTAAAAATTAAAAACAAACAAATGGTCAATAACTGTATCAGAACAATTACCAAATACTATTAAATGCCTTATTCTGAAGTAATTATAGAAAATACAATTCTAACTTTGTATCCTTACTGTAGTTCTTTTATTGGAAATACAAAAGTGCAAGCAGATTTAATCAAAATGTCAAATATATCCTATGAAACACATGCGGTAATCATTCCATATGATTGTTATAAAGATTTACCAGAAAAAATAAAATTGCCTAACTGACGACCCTTAAAGTAACATTACTTTTGATGAATTAGAAATTGTAAAACATAAACTTCATCAATATTCAAAAAATCTAGATGATTTAATAAATGAACCTTATATTCAAAAATATATAGCATGGCTTACTTATTTATTAATTGTATTAATCATTTGCTTAATTATTTTATTTTATTTTAAATGCAAAAATCGTAAAAGACGGTTAACTATTGGAAGATCAAACCAACCACCGCCACCAC